TGGGTGTCTTGATAATTCACATATAAAGCATGAAGCAGTAATGTGCTACAACTGTTAAAGACGCCAAAGCTTCTTTGGGTCATATCAAAGTATGAAGTACATGAAGCAATAGTACTGCTATTTGCTGCACTGGTCAGATCAAACTGAAATACTGTGTCCAGTGCTGGTCACCAATATACAAAAAGGACACTGAGGAACTCGAAAGAATGTGGAGAAGAACACCAAAGATGATTAACGACATGGAGGCTAAATCCTATGAAGAATGGCTGAAGAAATTTAGCAGACTAAGAGGACACATGATAGCAGTCTTCCAATACATGAAGGGATATTATCAGGAAGAGATTCTGAATCCAGAGCATCTGAGGATAAGACAAGAAACAATGGATGGAAACTTTATAGTAAGAGATCCAAATGTGAAATAAGGAAGAATTTCCTGACTGTGAGAGTTATTAAGCAATGCAACAGCTTGCCTCCTGAAATTATGGATGCGTTATCACTGATGGTTTTCAAGGGAAGATTGGATAGCTATTTGAGATGGTGTGAGGAAAACTGTACTGTGCTGTCTTGGACTAGATAACAACCTTTCAGCCTTATGATTTATAACTGAAACCTGGTCCATGTGGTATGCTAAGATGATGATGATAGTATCCATTCAATAGTGTCCAGTTCTTGGAGGTTTTATGGACCATCTTTCTTTACATTTTCTGATCCTGTATGACTTCTATCACTTGTTGTATGGTCTGCTCAGTGTTAGCTTTGATGGTGTCTAGCCACCATGTTTTTTAGTGGCTTCGTTTCCTTTTACCACTGACTATTCTGAGCATGACTGCCTTTTGCTATGAGTTTGAGCACATGACATGGCTGAAATAATTTTTGAGTGGAGTGTTGTGTCATCAGAATATCAAACATCACTGTTGTTTCTTCCTTGAATCTTTACTTTGATTTTTGATTCTTAAAGTTCTAGCTTTCTCATGATCATGATCTAACATAGATTTACAATATAGTCACAAGTACCACAACCTCCCTCTGAAACCGGCATGAACATCTAGTATTTCCTTTTAATTTCAGTTCCAGATATTATTGTACGATTTTAAGGAGAATCTTACTAGCCTGAAAGATAAAGACAATTGTGCAGTAACTGTAGCAATCCTAGGAGTTGACCTTTGTTAGCAATGGAATGAATACTGATAATTTCTTGTTCTGTGGCAATATATTTATTTCCTGTAGGCCTAAGCCCAAATTCGAGACAGTGAGATCCAATTGAGTCCTTTATTTTCTTATATCTAATAGTTTTATTAAACTAAAGATAGATGTACTAAATATATCCTGAGAGATTCTACTTTGAACCTCTTCTCTTCCCCCATCCAACTTAGGGCAGCGCAGTTCCTTGATCTGAATTGCTTCCTGGGAAAGCTCTGAATTGGCAAAATGCTCTTCTCTCTGTGCTCAGGTGCACATTCCATTATGTTTCCCATTTTTTCTGGCATAACCCTCTAATGATTATGGGTGGTACAGGCCTCAGCAATTCTATGGGGATGGTATCAACAGCTGTGGCCTTGTTATTTGTCAGTTGGCTCATTCCTACACAATGATTTTCTGAAGGATGACTAGTTCTATTTTTGTTTCCCTTTCTTCATCATCCTGACGAGTCTAGGCCTCTTTGTTGCTGGCATACAGCTCTTCTGTATATTTTCACTGTCTGCTCACCATTACATCATATTTTCCTGCTTCACTACTACCTTTTAGCTAATAATATAGACATAATTCATGGAAGAGCTACAACGTCTAGGCCATAGAAACTTGGATGATGGTAGCAAAGAATGTGAATTTTTGGCACGATTTGGTGCCATCTGTTAATCACTTGGAGTTTTGCAATACATATTAATAGTCTTAGGTTTATGTAATTTACATATTGTGTGATTTATCAATTTGTTTGTAAGTCATTGTGTAAACCTAACCAATTATGATATAGCATCCATTAATGTCATAATAGAAACCTGAGTAGGTAATATGAAAGCATCAACATGTGCTATGTGAACCTGCAAAACTGGTGAAGCTACTTCCTCTTGTGATTAGTTTATCATGATAGCCATTTTGTGAATGGCAACCATTTTATGATCCAGTACATGCTTTTAACTTTCCAAATGTGCTCCGGCTCCAAAATAGTTGTTTACATGTTGCTTTATGGGTTAGTGCTATGTGTAAATATGGCCATTGTGTCTTACTGAATAAATGAATATTAAAAGAAACAGTGATGTGTGAAACAACCCACAAAGTTAAAAGGGATATACAAAGAGAAAATTAAATGCATAAAGAACAACAGTTCATGCATGAAATATAACAAAGAGAAGCTTGTTTATACCAAAGCCACAGATGAAAAATTAGCAGATTACTAATTTCTAAATAATATGGTGACAGAATTTAAAAATGCTCAAAACTATTGAATTTTATCAATAAAATAAATATTTTCTAAGCTAATGAAGAAGAATTTTCTTTACTTTATATAAGCTACAGTTTTTATAGATACACAGGCTTGAAGTTTGTACAAGTTTCCTCAGAATAATATTTTTTAAGAAAAAGTATTGCCATCCAGCAATACTTTCATAAACCCACTTCCTTTTTCTTTTTCTTTTAAACTCAAAAACAACCCAAAACAAAGCTTTTCAAAAACCGAGTTACTCTTGGTTCATTGCAGCTGCTCATTTTAAAATATAGAATCTCTATTCTATTTATATTCACACTTACCTAGCAATAAGTCTTGTGGAATACATGCTTTTCAGTGAAATATATTGCTTTGCTAAACTTATTTGCTGCTGCCGCCCTTAGTCTATTTAAATCTAAAAATGTAGACTGCAAAGACTAAAAATTCTATTCAAATCCAATGTTAAAAGCTTTGAGCATGTGTTACAAAGACACTTTCAAGATCAGAGATATTTAACTTCACAGGAAGTCTGATACCAGAGATATTTGGAGCAAGTACAGATACATATAATTTATATTTAATCTATATTGTTCTTATAAATTAAAATATATTAGAAATTGGATATATATTCCAAGCAAGATAATTTAATTCAGAGGTCTCTAATCTTGGTAAATTTAAGACTTGTGGACTTCAACTCGCAGTATTCTTCCACTAGCTATGCTGGCTGGGGAATTCTGGGAGTTGAAGTCTCCCAGAAGTTGCCAAGGTGGCCTAGCTGACGTTAGTTGATCCAGGAAACTAAGCAGAGCTAGATCAATCAGAGCTCATTAATGCTTGGAAAAGAGGGTTACCAAAAAATCCCAAGATGGTAAATTAGATGGAGAAGTTGAAAAAACATCTCAGAACGAATTGCAAATATCTGGTACACCGATATTCAGAAAATGTTGAGTCTGACAGAAAACTCAACTCAAGGGAATCATCTATTTATTTATTTATTTTTAAAAGCTCATCTACTCTGAAAGACTGGATAAGTTACATCATTTCTAAGAAATGTTGAATTTTATATTTTTACCCTTTTTAAAAAGTACTTAAACACTACCACTACCACCATGTGTTGGTTATTTTTGTATTAGATTACTTGGTGGATCTGTTAGAGCAGGGATGTCAAACTGCCAGCCCGTGGGCCAGTTGCATCATGTGGAGGCCACGCCCACCCCAGCTCCACTAATACGAAGTTACGATACGTCGCAACATGTCACATGATGTGGTGAGTTTGACACTCGTGTGTTAGAGCAGGGCTTTTCAAACTTTTCACCCATTGTACCACTTTTAGGATATGGCAATATCCAAGTACCACCAGTCACCTAGCAAGGTGTCAAAAACTTGATGACCCCCCCCCCCAAAAGGAAAAAAATGATAAAGTACAGGTAGTCCTCAACTTACAACAGTTTGCTTAATGACTGTTCGAAGTTACAATGGCATTGAAAAAAGTGCCCCCCAAGCCACAGCTGAGCAAGACACCTGCCTGCCCATCCGGCAGTGCTCTTCCTCCTGTCTGAGGTTTTCATTGTTGTGAGCATATCTGTTGGGGATTGGCAGCAGAGGTGGGGTGGGGGGTGTTTGGTTTTTATTCCACCCATCTGCTGGGTGGTTGCAGCAGGTTTTGATCACTTCACATGACCCTGGGACACTGTGACCATCATAAATATGAATCAGTTGCCAAGCATCTGAATGTAAATCACAAGACCCTGGAGATGCTGCAATATTCCAGGCGATTGGTGCTTCTTCAGGGCTCAGCAGAAGTGCCAGGATCAGCACTGAGCTCCAACTGGAGCCTGGCGTTGACCCTGGTGCTTCCGCTGAGCCCTGACAGCCCTGCAGCTCCAGCCATCTCTTGCTCAGGCTTATGCAGTGCTGTCACCGGTTCAGCTCATTCCCCCCCACTACCACTTTTCTAGGATGGTCGCGTACCACCTGCCAGGTGCCAATGTACCACGGGTGGTACGGGTACCACTGGTTGAAAAGCCCTGTGTTAGAGAATCTCTCCAGAAGAACCAATGGGATTATTTAGCCAAGGGAACAGGAAATATTCAGTTGCTGTTCTTGCAGGAGAATTACCCTATTGCATGAATGTTGGATTTCTGGCTCTAATAAACAAGTTTAAATTGATAATATTTAGGAAATATCCTGGATGTTAGGGTTTAATGCTAAAAATTAATACTATACATCCAAACAAACATGCATTTAAAAGCGGCCTTTCTAAGAAAGCTGGCCCCTTTATGGTATCCTATGGAAACTTCTCTGGGCCCAACTTCTGTGAAAATGGATGCAGCATTCCTTGCGCATGCTAGAGACACCAAAAAAACATATCCTTCCTATCGTTTTAAGTTAAATCAAGGCAACATGGTTTGGATTACAATGATAAGGAAGGAGGAAATGCTTTCCCCAAACAATTGAATTACAGCTGCATTTCTAACTCTCACAGGTGCCTGCTCAGCCTTTTCTGTTAGAGAAGGAGGGACTTGCAATTGTAAAGGAGACAAATAGGCCCTTCCCTTTCTTTGTACAGTTTGCTGAATCTCCTTGCTTCCTTTTTCCTTCAGCAACTGTTAATACTACAAGAAGCAATAAATCCTAGCAGATTTTGTTTTGGTTCATTTGGTTTTTTTATTCTAGATTTGTTCCTAATGAAAGCTGCAGCTGATATCCTTCCTCAGGACGTCCAGAAGCTCTTTGGAGGTAACTATAAAGTTCCTTTCATTAACTAGGCATTTCGTCTATAGCTCAGATATTTTGTGAGGGAAATAAAGGTCAAAAGATGGTGTCTTTACTTAAAAAAACTTGAATACAATTCCCCCCTTGCTACATAATGTGGATTGTATATTATCTTATTTTTAACCATTAATTATTGAGGTATTGGTAGATTCAATTGTTATCTCATGAAACGGTACCTCATGATTGTCTTTTGGGAAAGCTGATTTTGCAGCAGAAACACCAACTTAAAATTGCAGCTTGATAAATAGGATCTCATATTTGAATGATGGATATTACAAAAATTGAACTTGGGCATGAGTAAGTTCATGTTGTAGTGGAAAAGTCTTTGACTACTATTATGTGCCTACTCAGTGAAGGCTTACTGGTGGAGGGCAACATTTGTATTTGTTTCTTGCAATGCTTTAAACCAGATTAAGAAAAATAGCTTTTTCAAACAGAAAATGCTTTTGTTCTGTCAAACAGGGCATATAGCAATTTTAGTACTTCATGAGCTTTTTGTGCTTCCTTTAAAATTTCTTCTATTATGAAAAATCTACCCAATTCCTATGTTCTCTATTTCCAATTTCTAATATTTCTTAACCTTACTTATTGTAAGACAGTGAAAATAACTGTTAAACTTACGACCATTGAATGATTATTTTAAAACCAATAATTTATCTCTGCCTTTTAATGGATTATTGTAATCAATTTAAATAAAGAGACAAATTGTGGAACACCTCTGTCCCCGGGTTTATGAAGTGGCAAAAGAAAGGTAAAGGTTTAGAAAAATGACTATTATTGTTAAATATAAATTAAAATCATTAACATTTTCTTTCATACCTTTCTGTGGTAATACATGGATTAAAGTTTGTCTTCACTGGTTTATCAGTTAAAGTTTTAATGTTGCATTGGAGCTAAACTATAGATTAGAGCTGCAGTCTGATACTGTACATTTGATCAACGTGCTGGCAACTAGGTCACCCCAAACCCTAAGATTACAACAATAGTCTGTATCAGTAAATTGCTTATTTTCAGGGCCATGTTTTTTTTTGCAGGATTTTAAATTAAAAGTTTAAACATGAAAAATATTTTGTGGGATAGATAACCTATATTGAAAAAAGGAAACATCCCCTTCTTGGAAAACTGGCCCCAAATTTTTGGTGTTTTGGTAATGTTACTTAATCTCTTCAACTTTTCTTGTGGCTTTCACGGACCTACAGATAATTCATGACTTGCAACCATTCATTTAATAGTGGTTCAAAATTATGATGTCCATGGAAAAGGTGACTTTTCACCTGTGTTCTCATTTATTATTGTCACATCAACCTTGTGGTCACATGATCACAATTTGGATGCTTGGCAACTGACGTGTTTAAAACCAGTGCAGCATCCTGCAGTCACCTGATTGAGATTTGTGATCTTTGGTAAGCTGGATTTGCTTAATAATCACATTATACACTTAACAATTGTGGTGATTTGCTTAACAACCTCCAGAATAACAAATTGATTGCAATAGCAATCAGGTCTGACTCAACTTATAGCTGTCCCAATTTACAATGGAAAATCTGGTCCCAACTGTGGTCATAAGTCAGGAATGGCAAACTCACAATGTCATGTGAGGTGTCATGACATATTGCAACTTTTTTCCATTGTCAGCAATGGGGTGGGTGCGGTTTTGCCATGACGCATCCGTACTGTGGGCCGGCAGTTTGACACCCCTGTCATAAGTCAAGACTATCTGTACTGATTTTGTTTTTTTAAATGTGATCTATCTTGCTATATATGCTTCTTGGGAGTTGATTCAATCAATGCCAACATATTTGAATTTGAGATAAATAGGACTTTTTCTTATGGCCACATTAACATGCATTCCTTCAATCCTTGGGTTGACAGAAAAGTGTGCTGACATATATTCCTTTCTCAACTGCCCATCTAAGAATATTTAATATTGTAAACCACCTAGAGTTACCCTGTAGTAAGATGGGCAGCCAATAAATTTGATAAATAAATAAATAAGAATGAAAAAAGGCTAGTGTTCTTCCTTCAGCAGAACCAGTGCATTTTTTTTTTTTTTTGCAAATTGAAACCTTTTCAGAGACTTCCACTGAGCTCAGTGAGATCAAGGTAGCAAATTGCTATATATTGGAGATTGTTAGCAGAGTCCCTCATAAGTTCATTATTGGATACTTTGCAGCTTGACTGCAATTGGGTAATCATTTGCTGTTTCACCTCCAAAACCAGAATGATTTGACCCAATCTTATAAATGGATTTCAGTCTGGGATATAGTTGAGATATCATGAAAACTGATTTAATGCAGCCATGTGGTCTAGTAGACTCGAGGCCCTGCAACAAATCCAGACGTCTACTTTAGTCCCAAATCAAGCCAACAATATCATCACAGGTCCAGACGAGTACGTAAATGGGTTGGGATGGCAGATGCCATCATCTACTAACATGCATTTCTACAGGATATATAAGACAATTTTACTCAAAAGAATTAATGGACCCAAGTTCATATCAGGACACATCAGGACTCGAAATAAGGACAAAGTGGTATCGGGGCATTTGAACCTCCCTGGTCAATCTCTTGTAGATTTTAAAGTGATCCTTTTGGAAAAATGAGATTTTAACTGCACCATTAAAAGAAAAGTTGCTGAACTCACATACATTAAAGCGTTTAATTTAGGCTATCTGAAAATGTTTCAACAAATAATGGGTTTTTAACTGAGCAGGTAACATATCTGCTTCACATATAACCTTTATCTGCATAATCAACCTGTCTCCATTTCTTTTTCCCAGCCCTTCCCAATTTAAATTAGTCAAGCCACTACCATGTATCTGATAACTTTAGTAACATTTATTATTTGGAAAAAGTGTTACCAGACTCATTCAGAGAAAAGGAAGGGTCTCTGTATCCTAAGTGTGTCCTATTATTTTCTCCTATATAAGTTCCCTACATAAATTCATATAAAAACAATAACAAAGCATTTTCATTTGTTGTGTGTGTATTTAAATGCTGCGATAGATTTAATATTAACATCTAATATTACAAAAATTGCAGAATATATGTATTTTTTTAATTGATAAAATAATAAAACTGCATATTTTGGTCATCGATGAATATATGACAAAAAAGTGTACAATCATGCCATTAATGGTAACTTATGATTACAATTTTTGAAAAGAGTATTGTATTCATTTAGAAAAAAGAGACTGAAGCCTATAAAAGTATTTGAGAAGTTACAAGATTAATTAAGATTAAAGATATAACTAAGGAATGTTATATAGTGTATAATAATGTAATATCCTGTGGTCTAAATACAAAAAGAACTAAAAGAAGTTATAGCAATATAAATAGTACTATATAACCATGAATTAAAGATAACAGAGCAGATATAAGCTACATAGGTCTGATTACTTCTAACAATCACTTCTACACAAATTTTGCATACTGTTGCATAAAACAGCAACATAACGTGTTAGAAATATAATTAGAAAGTGATACGGTGACATAACATTGGCCTGTATAGTCAGGCAATTTATAAGTAATAGAAAAAGATGAATACTGCAAGTATTTCTGTAAAATAAACAATATAGGAGGATATGCTGGATGGTTTCAATTTTTGCAAGGTGCAGTTGTTTAAAAAGTGAGGGTATATATTATGGTGTAACACTGCTTATTCGTTTTTGTTTCTTGATCTTTCTAAGCCAAGCCTGATTTAGGGTTGATAAACTTCTAGTCTGACAATTTTTCTAAGCTGCCCTTTGCACCATCAGAAAAAGAAAGAAAGAAAGAAAGAAAGAAAGAAAGAAAGAAAGAAAGAAAGAAAGAAAGAAAGAAAGAAAGAAAGAAAGAAAAGTGAGGAATGGTTTCATCTAATTTTTGAGAATAGAAGGTTGGTGACCTTGACCATCTAGCTGTTCATCAAACCAGACAAATCTAATCTTCTAAAATATGCTTAACACAAATAGAACAGTTTCATCAATAGACCTCAACTATTGCTATGTATATTATCATCTATCCATCTAAGAATTTTAATTGTAATAGTGAAATATAGTAAAAACTAATAGAATAGAATAAAAAGTGCAAGAAAAAAGAAAAAAATAAAGTAAATATAATAAAGCGAAATATATAAAGTAGTGACTTTAGTCAACTCTAGAATCCCATTTCTGAAATCATGAAATTGCTTATCTTTGCTTAAAAACCTAAACAAACTCTATTTCCGAAGAAAAGCTATTGCTTTTTTTCTAATTCATTCCAAAATTGTAAGTTTCAATATTTCAATTTTATCTGGATCCTTAGTCTATATGTAATTTTATAATATCAAAATGATGCAGATGATAGTATATTTATTGATTTCTGAAGAAGGAATTTGTTACACAAAGTCTTAGAGAAGATGTAACATATAGTTCATTTTGCTACTAGTCTTCTGAATGCTAGCCAGTTTTACAAATATACTTTTTGAAGGAAATAGTGTCTTTAATTCAGTGTCTTTAATTTATAAATATATATTTCTCCCCATTCCCTTTTTTAAAAAAAATTATGTTCAAGTAAGAATTAAACAATAATTTTAGAATGCTATCCTACAATCTGTTTGCAATGCTAGCATATATTTACAGAATATTTAAAGTTAAAAAAATATCTCTGGGTATGTGCAGAATTGTACATACAACTGATGAGCAGGTTTCTAGAAATTAATAGCAGTGCCACTTAGTCTCTTCTGATGCTTACACCTGGCTCCATGGTATTGATTTAATTTTTTTGTCCTCCTCTCATTTGTGTACCTATTTAAATTAGTTTTGAATTGTTTATTTAATTGGGATAATTATGTTTTTTTCTTGTTGTGTATTTTCTATGGCAGGAAAGCTTGTACATACAACTGATGTTGGATTGCTGTTTCCACTATAGTGTTAACAAAAATTTTCTATTGGCTTATCCAGTGTTGCAAGGATTTAGTCAGAAAAGATTTTAAGAAGTTGCTTTTATAACTTGATCACAAATACTTGATCCCCATATGAGTGAGATGAATGCTGCATATGATTGTGGACATTCTTGTCGGTTTATATGTCCCAAAACTGAAACAAGAAACTAAAAACAGCTTTTAAAGAGATTTTTAGCTCAAATTTAAGTTTCAACATTTTGAGCTCTGGTTTAGAAACCCTTTTTTTTCTTACTGAATTATCTTCCCCATCTGAACATGTGGTCTTCTTTTCCTTTTTAAAATGGAGGATGTGATACTGTCAACTCATTTCATTTTGCTTTTTAATGTTCAGTGCTTTATTGTTTTGAGCTGACATTTCTCGTAAACAGCTCATTTTCGGCACCTGCCACCTTTCCTTTAGTTTAGATTATTTTCTTGTTAGCTGACTCTTTTTAATTGAAGTCTTCAGATCTTCTTCTAAAGAAGGAGTCTTCGTTTCCTGACAAGTAGAGCAGGCTATGAATGGAGATTAATTGCATGTCATGCTCTCCTATTATCAAACTTGCTGCATCTTTTACAACCCAGAAAGTCTCTAGGCTTTCCAATAGTGAAGGCACATTTTATTAATATAAGCTAGAAAAACAGGCTGCAATGTCAACTACCATGTCTTTCTTATATGACATCAGAAGTAATCATATTGTTTAGAAAACATAGATCAGAAATATACAAGTTGGATTGTCAAGTCTCTGTCTACACATAGAGATGTTCATTTGTAGTAGGTGTGTGTTACTTCACATCATCAGAAATTAATTTATAAAGAATAATTACTAAGCTTTGAGACTGCATGGAAAATTACTTCCTAATCTTGGCAGGTATGAGGGGACAAGCTGTGTTTATTCAGTATTGATAGAAATTTATTTAGTATACATACTTAATACTATTTTTAGTATGTTAGGTTTTAGCTCTAATGTCCTCTGGCTAACAATAAACTAGGGCTAACTGAAATGCAGTTTTAAACTGGCAAATGTCCAAAGGACATTTTTCATTGGATTTTGAAATGTGAAGTTCTATGTGTTTCCAACTTTATATTTTGTAATTAGATAATTAGATAATAGCTAATTTATTCTTTTTACAAGTTTTTCTAACCCTTCCTTCCCCATCCTAACATTTAAAAAATGTGTTTGAATAAGACATACCGATCTAGGTTGGGCATGGCTGCTTTTGTCTTTCTTATTTTTCTCCTTGTCTTGGCATCTGAACTTGTTTGCTTGTTTCTGGATATTTTATAAGATCACAGATGTGTAATAAAATAAAATACAGTAATTCAATTTTTGACTGTTTACATAACACTCTTACTGATCTACTCTGAAATTTTGTGTCCAGGCTCCTATCACATTTCCTATGAACATGGCTGATATCTGTGGAAATGTGAGAAGAAAGTTGGGTATTGGAGAAATTTGCAGAATTGATCGACATTTTTACTGCAGTGCACCCTATTGTTGATCTAATATAGCACAGGGATTAAAATTAATTATGTACCTTTGGCTTATTTATTAGTATAATTATGCATTGACAAAAAGTCTAGATGTACCAAGGAATAGGCCATGTCATCCCTTTATATCTACATTTCGTGGTGCAAAACAATTATATAGAATAATATATGATCATATGTGATGAAATAGCTCAAATAGCAATCTCGTATCCAGGAAATAAAATAACTGAAAAAAAAGTTTCTACTTTTTTCCCCCTTTGGGAATGTTCTTTTTTTTATGTAATTGATAAAATAATTCAAGAAATGTTGAATTTTGTAGCCTTTATAAATCATAACAAACCAGATCCCTTCCTCTGTCTACACACATACAATGTTTGTCTATTTCTGTTTTTCTAACTTGCCTTATTTTAGTTGGAGGTGATCTTATTCTGTGCATATTAGAAATACCGTTACCATTTATTAATAGATTTTAGCTTTGTTATTTTTTACTGTTATTGTTTATGAATACACACTCATCTTTAATTTATTTTATATGAGTTAGGTTATGTTTATTTGTCCTCAGTTTAATAATTTTCAGTGTATTCTTTACTTTTCTGAATAAAGTCTAATTATTTTTTCTCCCTTCTTTGCAAACCTTTTTCCAATAGAAGTTGAAGATTATCTGGAAAACTTACAAAGTGAGAACCTTAGTGCTAGAGCACGGATACAGAGAGATGAAATTCTATTTGATATTGAACAACTTAAAGAGAGGTGTGTATAACTGCATGTAATTCTCATGAGAGCAATTTCTGTGAGGGAAGAGGACATTGTATTTACTGTTTTCACAATTATTTCTGGCAAGTTCATTAATCCACTCTCTTGTGTGTGTCTGACATATCCAAAAAAGATTGCTTCCATTGAAAGTATACAACAATCCAGTGCTAACAATCTGATTGCCTTTTTCTATAAGTCTTTTGTGTTTTCCCAACCTATAGAGCCAAACTAGTATGACCAACTATATGACCAATATATAACATGACCATATGGCTGTGTGAGGAATGTAGAATCCTCTCCCCAACTGAATTTTAATTTCCTGAAGTCTGCCTCCTCAATGCTTTCTTTTCAAGCAGTGTTTAATACTGAGAGTGTGCTTGCATGAGAGAATTGTATTTGGATGAGAGAAAACTTAGAAATCCATCCTTATATATGTTTTTTATGATTACTGTATAGTAAATCCATACTTAAATGTATTAATCTCCTATGTTCAGAAATACTTTGGCTTTTAAGATAGAAAAAAAGTAGGTAAGTTTGCTGTCTTCAAGATACTTATGATTTCAACTTCCGCTATGTAGTTTGCATGGCAATGATAAGAAACTTGTAGTTCATAACAAACGATGGTAATAAAATGTCTTCCTTTGTTATAGAGCAGCGGTTCTCAACCTATGGGTCGCAACCCCATTTGGGGTCGATCGACCATTTTTCAGGGGTCGCCAAAGGCGGCGATCCGCCATTTTCTCCCCTCCGGGGGCGCCGCCGCGCATGCACGCTGCACATGGCGCCGGCGCCACACATGCGTGCCACGCATGGGGGCGCTGCCCCCATGCGCACCGCACCACGCATGCGCATAACGTTTGTGTGACGGGGGTCGCCGTCACACAAACGTTGAGAACCGCTGCTATAGAGCAAATATGGGAAATTCACTCCTCAAATGAGTGAATACTGCATACTGTATGCCCCAGTTTTATTTTTATTTGTGTTTCTTAGAACATCTCCCACTGAAGTCATGCAGTTGAAATTGGATGGTAGAGTTTATCACTTTATATGCTTGGTAATATTCTTAAAACACCTTTCTTCCAAAAACCTCTGGTTTGCCACTTCTGGGTTACAGATTTTTTTGGGGAGTGATAGGATTCTAACATAAGTCTTTAGTTTGCATTTATTTATGTTCTTTCAGGAGTTCCTAGAGTTTAACTAGGAATTATAAGTTGATAGTTTTATATATTTTCCCATAATTTAGTAGGACATATCAATCTCAATATGCTTTTGTGCTCTATAGTGTAAGAAATTAAGTGTTCAAGAATATTGTGAATGTGCTATTTATTTCAAAGCACTAGGACTTTGAAGAGTTTTGTTGATAAAACTATTGACAATACCAGGATTTCGTAAGTCGTTAGTTGACAAATTGTGGAATGACTAGTGCAATGATGGTGAACCTTTTAGAGACCGAGTGCCCCAAAACTGGCCCCGCCCCTGTTCTACCCCTTGCCCTGCCCCCGCTCCACCCCCCATCCCCACCCCCCCTGCCCACAGGACTACTCACTGCCTCCAGGGCCCGCTGCAGATCGCCCAGGCAGCCCAGCAGTGCTATGGCGGCCACACCCTCTGCCCGCCCCCTGCAGCATCAACTGTGCTGCTCCATGTTGGCCACCCTCAGGGGTGACTCTCCTTTAGGGGGGCTGCTGGAGAGGACGGGGTCACAAGGGGAGGCAAGGCTGGGACAATGGCACGTGTGCCCACAGAGAGGGCTCTGAGTGCCACTTCTGGACCCGTGTCATAGGTTCACCACTACTGGACTAATGGAAGCTTAAAAAAAATGCCACAAGGAAGTTATTTAAAATTTAAATATTTAATAAATATTTAAATATTTAAAAAGCTCAGATTTGGAGCAATGTTTACATTCAAAGTATCTACAAAGTGAATTTTATAGCAGCTCTGTATTTCAAGAATGTCTGATGTAGATAGAATTGTGGAATAAGTAAAAAAAATGTGCAGCCATAGAAATAATACAAATTAAGAATCCTTGCTTATTTTTGTCATTTTCTCTACTTGTCTTAAGCAGAAAGTCAAATTTATGCATAGTAGAAAAATAAATTTTCATTTCAACCACTGTTAATTACTTATGCTATCACTTGGGTCATATACTGTGTTTACTCTTTTTTTGAATGTATTTCTTATTTGTTACAGTGCACAGTTTGTCTTTACACAGCATATTATAACTGCATTCAATTTTATAGTAGGAATGCAGCCAAAATAACAGTGTTAATATATTGGTTGCTAGACTATTGGCATTAGTGAATAATTAATGAGATAGGCCACTGAAGTTTTTTAGTGGCTGCAAGAGCATTCTGAAATAATTTGAAGAAGCTTTCATTGGCAAATGGAAGTCTAATTTAGTGACAATTCCCCCCCCCCAAAATTTCTTCAATCACACATATCTCTTCAGGGCTGTAAAGGTTTTTCTTGGCAAGATTTTTCAGAGGTGGTTTACCATTGCCTTCTTTCTAGGGCTGAGAGAAAGTGACCGGCCCATGGTCACCCAGTTGCCTTTGTGCCTTAGGCAGGACTAGGTCTCCCAGTTTCTAGCCAAACTGGCTCTAATTCTCATTAACACAATGGTAAAATATGGGCTACACAATACAGCTGTTAGATTAACTCAATTAGCTGAATGATTGAACCCAGTTAGTATAGTATTCGTTAATAGTGCCACATCAGCTTGGATAGTAATGTCAAAATGAATACCACGGATTTTATGCTGGGCCCTTTGTTTTTCAACACTTTTATTAATGACTTGGTTGAAGGAATTGCATCAAATATGCACATGACACAAAATTATACCAGCTTGAATAGTTGGCTGAAATAAACTTGTGGAAATTTCATAGGGATAAATGTAAAGGCCTAAATCTAGCTACCATGAGGATAAGTTCAGAGGAGAGCTCCCAGGATACTTGCTGGACCTAGAACCAAATTCAGTGCAAAATGGTGATCGTTGTGTCCTGAGCCTGCAAATTTAGGCTCGGGACGTTGCAAGGGTCCCAGGCTTTGCAGAAGCTGCCCGGGACCAGACTGAGTGGCGCCGGCCTTGTGCGCATGCGCAAGGCACGAAAAGTGCCTGACTATGTTGCCATTGTGTCTGGGGTTTTGGACGTATAAAAAGAGGCCTGTGTGCCTTTGCTCGTTGTTGGAGTTCTGGCTGGAAAACAAAATAAAGAGTTATTCAAGGAAAGATGTGTCTTCATCATTCACTATTAATGCAAGGACTTAACAGTGATAGTACTAACTATTTTTAATCTTCAGAGGAGAAGATAGAGGGGAATATGCGAAGTACTTTTCAAGTATCTAAAGGAGTGTCATGCAGGAGGGAATGATCTTCTTTTCAGATGTTCTAGAACAGGGCATTTCAATTGGTGGTACGCGTACCACCTGGCATGTGGCAGGTGGTATGCGACCCTCCTAGACAAGTGTAGCGGGGGACGGGAATGAGATGAAGCAACACAAGCCTAAGTGAGAGGCAGCTGGAGCTGCAGGACTGTCAGGGCTCAGCAGAAGCCCCAGGAGCACCACAGGAATCCAGCTGATTGGTGCTTCCTGAGCTGGAGGGGAACTGAAGAGAAAAGGAAGGGGGAGGAGAGGAGAGGCTATAAAAGGAGGTGGTTTTGATGGGAAAGAGAATGGAGAAGAAGCTGTGGAAGGAGAGCTCAGCAGGCAGGGAGGAATAAGAGACAAGGAAGAAGAAGCTGTTGCTGCAAGAAAAGGTCCCCTGGTTTGTTTTGTCTAGCCAGGAGAATGCAATCAGCGCTGATGAAATGAAAAGCTGGGAGACAAGCATGTCGGAAAGGAGGTTGGTTTATTTAGTTCTGGGTCAGCTGGTAGCTTGATTGGATTACCATAAGGAGTTTTGTACAGTTTTTTACAGCATTTTGTAATTCAGAGGCTTGGTTTATATGCTTTGGTTATTGGAATATTTTAGTCTGTTTCACAAAGGCTAGCAATGAGTCCAAAGTGTTGGCTTTCATAAGTTTTATCCCTATAAAGAAATGTAATTAGTTTTACACCCTTATCTTGAGTCTGTCTATGGCTTTTAACAAGTTTTCTTTGTAGGTAAACAGGTTTAATTTAAGGTTATCACTTTTTACAACATTGTGACACACCTGAAGCAGCTTAAAGAAAAAAAAAACCACAGAGTTTAGTGTTTCTTTATTTTGGGAGGCTTTTGTGAGCCTTTCTTGCTTTGCGCTTGATTCCTGTGTCCTTAGGGGTACAGTGAAGGGACTGGGGGGTGCATTCTGACTACACTATGGAAGGAGAGCTCAGAAGGGAGGGAGGAAGAAGAGAAGAGGGAGAGAGGAAGAACTAGCTGACCAGTCAGCTGGTAGTGGTGCATATTAATAAATATGGATACATTCATTAAACATTTGTCAGTGCAAAGGGAAAGTGATTCAGCAAAGGAATCGCACCAAAGAAATTAAAACCGGTACTTGTTTTCTTTTTTTCTACAGTTCGTAACATTTTATTAGATTATAGAATAAAATACAAAAATATAAAAGGAAATAGTAGGACACAGTGGGGAGGAAAAAGGGGGAAGAAGTGAGGGGGAGAAGAGAAAAAGAAAGGAAAAGGCATTGACTTCCGACTTCCTCTGTTATTTTTTTCATAATATTATAAACCAGCCATTTCTATAAAAACAAATGAATCTAATCAGTAAAACCCAAAATCCCCCCCCCTTTTTCAGTCATTAAGTTTTTGACATCTTGCTAAGCACTGGTGGTACTCAAATATTGTCATGTTCTAAAAGTGGTAATCTGTGAGAAGGTTGAAAAGCCCTGTTCCAGAAGGACAATCATCAATGGGTTGGCATTTTCTGTTAATCAATAGAATAGATTGCTTCAGGAAACTTTATCTCCCCACCCCACTGAGGTGCAGCAGTTACAAACTCATTATCTCTCTTTAACATTACAATAATCCCTTCAGTCTCTTATTTAATATTTTTTCAG